GAGTTAGGCCTGCTGCCCAAGTCCAGGTTAAAGGTGAGATGAGGGTGCCGAGCCCTCTGCCGGTGGAAAGATGACGGTTGGAAACTGGAGTCTGGAGTAGGGCTCATGCACTTGATTGAGTGGAGGGGAGGTGACAGGAAAAGAGTGTGGCTTGTATAGGTTATCTTCCGTAGTCAATGGGGTGCCGTGAAGGGGCAACGACTGGCGACTGGCGCAGTGACGGTGCGTTTGGGGCTGAGAGTCGGCTGTGCTCTGGCTATGGTTTGTGATGCGCATCCGACGTCTGAGTGGAGGTGTTGAGTGGACCTGAGGATAGAGGGGCCGACGAGGATAGAGATGGGCTTTGCACCACGGGCACACGATGGAACAAGCCAAATGGGCCAGGGCAGGGGTGACAGGGAAGGGCACAGAGTCCTGAACGTGTATGCCCTCATTCAGAGGTTGGTCAGCAAAGGAGACGGAGGATGGCCAGTGACAGCCTGAAGGATTGGGGGTTTTTGAAGTGGACTTTCCGGAGGGAGGGAGTGATAGCCCAGGAGGAGTGCTTCACTGGAAGAAGGTTGAGCAAGTTGAAACTTGAGACAGAATCCCCGGGTCTGGAAACGGTCGCTGGAGATCTTGGCCAGGGCAGGTTCCTTGGAGCGGAGGGGAAGAACGGCCTGACTGCAGAGGAGGGAAGGGGAGTGAGGTGCAGAAGTGGGGACAGCTAGTGTAAACAGTGCTTTATAGGAATGTTGCTTTAGAGCAGAAAAATGAGGCAGAGCCTAACCAGGGATGGCAGGTCCAGGGGGATTGTGTCTCCTCTTTCTCCAGACGGAGAGATTACAGCTTTGTAGAATGATCCAGAGGGAGGAGGGATTAGTGATGCAGCAGAGCCCCTGAGAGGTCGGAGGGGACCGAATCCAACGGCTGTGTGGAAGGCTGGCACCACACCGTGTCTTGATGGAAGGTAGAATGCCTGGGCAGAATAATGGTCCCCCAAATATGTCCGTGTCGTCATTCCCAGAAACTGTGTGTCACCTTACATGGCAAAAGAGGTGTTGCAAACCTGATTAAGGATTGAGGGCCCTGAGACAGGGTGAGTCTCCTGGATTGTCCAGGTGGGCCCAAATATCATCATGAGGTTCCTTAAAAGCAGAAGGAAGAGGGAGGCACAAAGGTAGATGCATTGTTACTGGCTTAGAAGCTGGAGGAGGAGGGCCACCAGCCAAAGAATGTCGGTGGCTTCTGAAGCAGGAAAAGGAAAGGAAATGGATTCACTCTTGAGCCTCCAGAGGGGACGTAGCCGTTCTGAAAGCACTAGCCTCTTCTTCGGCCTAGTGAGTCCAGGGCCTCTGGGAGAATGTGACAAGTGTGCGTAGGAGAGGAAGGAGTTGATGCTTCAAAACAGTCCCCCCCCCCCCCATGGCATCAGAGCTCATCACAGTGGCCTTTGTGTGCTGCTAGAAGCCACATGCAACAGAGGTTTTGCAGGGGGACCTGCTCTCCATCTGTGTCTCTGTGGACACCTCCTATGTCAGTTTGTCTGGGACAGCTAAAATAATCCCAGGAATAATGTTCCCATCCCTCTTGAGACCTCTCCTACGGACCTGCCTCTCCGACCCCATCCCACCAACTCATCCCCAGTCGCTAAAAATAAGGTGCATCTAAACTGTGCAGCCACTCTGGAAAACAGTATGGAGGTTCCTCAAAAAAGTAAAGACAGAACGACCCTACGACCTAGGAATTGCACTACTAAGTATTTATCGAAGGGATACAGGTATGCTGTTTTGAAGGGATACGTGCACCCTGATGTTTCTACCAGTGCTATCAACAGCAGCCAAAGTATGGAAAGAGCCCAAATGTCCATCGATGGGTGAATGGATAAAGAAGATGTGGTATTATATGCAATGGAGTATTACTCGGCAATCAAAAAGAATGAAATCTTGCCGTTTGCAACTACATGAGTGGAACTGGAGGGTATTACGTTAAGTGAAATTAGTCATTCAGAGAAAGACAAAAATCATATGAGTTCAAATGATATAAAAACAGGGAGGGGGACAAAGCCTAAGAGACTCTTAAATATGGAGAACAAACAGAGGGTTACGGGAGGGGTTGTGGGAGGGGGGATGGGCTAAATGGGTAAGGGGCCCTAAGGACTGTACTCCTGAAATCATTGTTGCACTGTGTGCTAACTTGGATGTAAATTTTTAAAAAATAAATATTTGTATAAAAATAAGGTGCATCTGGTTATGTAGGCTAGTGGCTGAGATCTGAGATTGAACCAGAGGGGAGCCAATGTGAACACCCCTCCTGGTGGGCAGGACCTGTTGGGGGGGCTTTTGTAAAAGGGCTGTTGAGAAAGATGTTCTTGAAGCAAAGGCGCACAACCAGAGAGGAGACCCAGGTGACAATCCTGAGTCGTCACACCTCAGCCCCAGTCTGGGCACTGGCAACCCAAGCTGCTTTGGGTCCTGGAGCAGGAGACGACTGAGTTGGGCTACCTGTGGAGTGACTGTCAACTGACCATGTGCTATCTGCAGGCCCTGTCCCAGCCCAGGAGGGCAAGCTCCCCATTCCCCAACTGCCCATCCCATCGCCCTCCTTCCAAGGCTCCTGGCCTCTTGGGCGCAGTTTGATCTTCAGCCCAAGCTGCCCAGAGCCATGGCGCTTAGACTTCAAGCCATACAGCGGGAGGGTCTCCGTGTCCCTGAACTGCCTGGCACTGGGGGCAGCTCCCTCTAGTCAGGAAGAGGGACAACCCACAACCTAACACGGGGAGACTGATGTCTGCATCATGCTCATGGGTCCTGACACAGGTCTTTGAAAGAAACTTCCAAACCCCATGGCTAGGAAGTAGGAATGAGTTTATCCCTAGGAGCTCGTGTACCAGAGAATGGTCCCAGGACAGGCTGTTTCCCTGGTGCTTAGTTACTCTGGAGACAAACCCCATGCCAGTGGTATCCATCTCCCAGGGAGGTGGACACACCATCCACTGTGAGAAGTGTCGCACGGGGGTCTCGTCTCCACCACCATTCTACTCCTCACTTTGCTGACAAAGGGTGAGAGGTTTTAGAAACATCCACCAGCATTAGATACAAGAAAAATGCCCTTCCTTAGTTTAGTACTTACACATTAGACTCAGTCAAGACACCACATCAGTCATACTTCTGAAGGGTAACTAACTCTCCCAAATCCTTTATTTAATAAAACTGGAACATTTGTTGGTAACCTAATACACAAACTCCAAGTGTGCTAAATGCAAGGCGTTCAGGGAGGCTTTGCTTCTGTCTGGCAGAGGACTGGCAATGCTGGGGAATGCACCTGCCTCCTGTGTCCTGAATGAATGCACCGTGTCCTGAATGAAGTGGCAAGTTCAAGCTTCTGCTCAGGCCAGGGCCGCCAGGGTCCGAGGTCTCCCTCTGTCCCCGACACTAGTGCCTGGCATGGAGGAGGGTTTCACCACTTCTGCCCCCAGATCCACACAGTACCTGGGAAGCCTGGGGCACCTGCAGTCCCGTAGAAACCGCGGTAGCTCTGTAGGATTCTTCCTGCGGCCTGCAGCTCCCACCCTCCACCCAACCCAGGGCTGGGGGTCCCCAAGAGATACTCGCTTAAGAAACAGGGCTAGGGGCCTGAATGGGCTGGTCATCCTGGACTGCCCTGCAACCCACTCACTGGAGGAAGAGGGCAGGCAGATCTGGGAGACATTCAGGCCCCTGCCCCCACCACCTCTGTCCCCAGGGAGGCTGGAACAGAGCAAGGGAAGGCCACACCCACCCTTGCAAACCTGGGGCTGGCGTTAGTCACCAAGGCCTCCAGACGCTCTGGGCTATGCGAGCAGCGGTCAGGCTGCCCAGGGCTGCTGGCACCAAGTCTGGCCCTTCGGCAGGCGCTCGGCTCAGTTCAGCGTCGGGGGCCTCCTCCAGGTCGGAGCACAGGTCGTCCCCGGGGCCCGGGGGACTGGGCAGAGGGGACCCCAAGACCCCTCCCGTGGGCCAGCCGCTTCGCCCAGGGGCTCCCGGAGACCCGGCCAGGGCGTCCCCCAGCAGATCCCGGAAGCTGCTGCCCTCGCGCAGAGGCATGGACTCGAGCAGGTGGTTGAGGAGTTCTGCGGCGACGGTGGCATCGATGGCCTGGCACGTGGACACGAACGTGTGCACCTCGTGCATGCACTGGATGTAGCCGGCCGCGAAGCGCTCGCTTGCTTCCGCCTGCAGCTGCTCGCGCTCTGCACCCGGGAGTGGGAGGGAGAGAGCGGCGCCCCGTCCGGTAAGCAGCGACTGCGGTGGCCAGGCCCGTCCCAGCCCGCGGGGACAGGGCTCACCCAGGAGACCCGGAGGAGCCCCGGGCGCGGGCTGTACCGGGGCGCCGGGCGGGGAAGACCCCATTCCGAGGCGGGGGCGGGCCGGGCGAACGCGCCCCGCCCGCGCGCCCCACCGCCACTCACCGCGCGCCCGGCCCCGCAGCGTGCCCTGCACGCGCCGCACCGTCAGCTCCAGCACCTCGGCGTTCTCCAGCTTGGCCTGCACCTGCGCGGGCGGGAGCGCCGGGGGGCGTGTGGGGGGCCGGTGAGGCCGGGCAGGGCCGCGCCCCCCGCTCTCCGCCCAGCAGCCCCCGGGCGCCCGCCGGCCCGCGCGCCGGTCTCACCTCGGCGCCCGCCAGCAGCAGCCGCAGCTCCTGAAGGCTCTCGTTGATCCGCGCGCGCCGCTTCTTCTCCACCAGGGGCTTCCGGGCCTGCGGGAAGCGGGCGACTGAGCCCAG